TTGCCTTGGTTTGAGACTGATTTTGAGGCTGCATTTCATAGGTCGTCAAATAATGCCATGAGCACGTCATTTCCTTCTGGAAGAGATGTACGTGAGAAGCATGTCTGCCGTCAAAGCCGAAAGAGTTATATCGTTGATTAGCTTTCCTTAATTGTAGCGTTTGTCGGGGAAATTAGTTTTGCCGTTCGTCTCTAAAATACCGCTGGTTCTGGCAAAGAGGAAATTCTCATTATACAGGGAAGGTGCGCAGTTCATAATATTTTGCTTACCTCGAGTACATACAGCTTGTTTTCTTAGGTGCTAAGTTTCAAGCCCTTCTTCCTTCTGTGGTTAATCAATGAGTATCACTTTGTAAGAAAGGAATAGAAGATCACACGCTATGTTTGCCACATGGCTGAAGACTCTGCCTTCAGAATGAAGCACGCCTGTCTGATGGCACAGAAACGTAGAATAACACTTCATTATTAATTTCATGAAAAGAATGGCATCAAAATTGCCCAGTCATGAAACTGAAGGAGGACCGACAATCTAATTGTGAAAATCTTTCGCTTCCTCTGTCCCCTGATGGTTTTCGCATGCGATGCAACTCTGACAGCTGAATTTTTTCAAAAACGCCTTGAAGTCGATAGGTATGAAGAACCAATGTGGCACCGTTTATTTGCAAGTGGAACAAGGCTATGAAAGAGTTCAAGGAATTGACCGATTCAAGTATGTTGAATCTGCCATCTCTAATGAAGATACCTTTCAACCAAATATAAGTAAGATGATTGTCCTCATTTTCAGCTCTTTCGGTAACCTATCTAATGATTCAGACGAAACAGAATAGTAATTACTTGGAAAATCTGTCTGTACCTGACCTTAGTCAGGTCCGTGCTTCTCTATAGCATGGAGGCCGTTGCCTTAACACAGTTTCAAGAATGATGGTTAAACGGCGTACAAGAGTGCTTCCTTCGGCGCTCACTGAGGGCAAACTGGCATGATCAATAAGGAATCGCTCGATTCTCTTCCGGGCAGTGGTGATCTCAGTAGATATTATGATTAAGCAAAGAATGTTGGCCCTGTTAGACAAACAGGTTGAGCATAGACCATTTCCTTAAACCTGCGAGATTCTCGTGTGGGTGCAGGACTGGCTTCAATCAGCATGCACTTTTAATGAACAGCATTGAGGCAGGTGTGTATTCCGAGAGCAATTGTTCCTTCTACCATGCTGTAGCAAGTGCTGGATGACAAATGTGCTGAAATGTGGCCATCACAAGGCAGGGTATTTTTGCAAATACGAATGGTTTAAGATGATTGCCTGAACACACGAGATGCAGACGCTTCACCTGATCCGGGTTCTGGAAAGCCAGTACAAAAGCGATAGCAACTGGTGGATTTGCAAACATGCAAATTTTACCTGGTTTGGTTTTAACAGATCATTCTACGTCGAAAAATCTTCGAAATTTATTCAATAAATATACGTGCATGGGACAATCCTCTATGTGGATGGGAACAGCTTTCGACTGTAGTGTGCAAACAAGTGGTAAAACCTCAACGAATCATGAACGGCATGATGTTCAGGTGATCAGACTCATGATCAAGAAGTTGGCTTAATCATCTGCTACCTGGCACTTGACGCATTTGGTAGCTATCGACAAAATGCCCCTTTATTCTTTCTAATTATTTTCTATAACTTTACCTACCTGTAAGCTGATCCGTGTTTTGACAGTTCACGCCCCTGGTGCCTATTCTTGAAATTGCACGTGGTCTGGATCAGGACGGCTTCTTCCTTTCGCTGATGTCGATAGCCTTCATTATGAGTGATCATTGGCGAAATCAATAGGCTTCCGCGTGCTGAATCAGCTTTATTGAAGTTGAGGGATATCTAACAAAGCAACCGCCATATATATGCACAAAGTGACCGTTCAGGTAAAGTTAAACGTTTATGTCAGGAATCACAGAGTCGATAAAGCGACCTTACCGTGACATTCTGTAAATTAGTCATGATACATTGCTGGTCAGTAATTTACAAAGGCGTCACAACGGTCGTCAAGAAATACACCAAAAAAATCAAGATGAACGCCGTTCTTCGTAAGAAACGTGCTAATTCACCGGTGGTAGCTCGTGGCAGTACGGTATTTTTGGAACTCGCTATGAGGTTGTTTCTTTCACCGGTTTCCGATGCTTCCTCGTCATCGATCGTCCGCACCTTCCAGACCAAACCCTTTTGATTAAACACGTGCCACTGGCTAGCCCTCTGAAGTAGCTGCGCGATGCACGTGCAAACGGGCGCCTTCGTCGATGCCGTGCGAAAGTAGGCGATGTGCAGGAACAGCGTCACTGCAGTCAGCGAGTAACAAAGACAGTTGACGGATACTAAGAGAAATATTTATATGCAAATGAAGGCTATCGTCGAGCACTCACTAATTTTTGG